CGGCTCGCATCGAGGAACTGCGTCAAAAGTACCAAGGCCAGCAGCAGCAGCCGCAGAAGCCGGCGCCGGCGGGCAGTGGAGCGGCGGACGTGTCCCGGCTCGAACAAGAAGTGACAAAGCAGGGTGACATCGTACGGAAGCTAAAGGCGGCTAAGGCGTCAAAAGATGAGGTGCAGGCGCAAGTGAAATTGCTTCTCGACCTAAAGAAGCAGCTGGCTGACGCCACAGCGGCGGCCGCGGAAAGTTCGGGCGCAGCCGGCAAGGCAGACGTGAGCCAACTCGAGCAGTCAGTGGCAAAACAAGGGGACATCGTGCGCCAGCTGAAGGCAGCGAAAGCTCCCAAGGATGAGGTGCAGGCTCAGGTGAAAGTGCTTCTCGACCTGAAGAAGCAGTTGGCCGACGCCACAGCGGCGGCCGGAGACAGTTCGGGAACAGCCAGCAAGGCAGATGTGACTCGGCTGGAACAAGAAGTAGCAAAACAAGGTGACGTGGTACGCCAGCTGAAGGCGGCTAAAGCTCCCAAGGACGAGGTGCAGGCTCAGGTGACGATATTGCTCGACTTGAAGAAGCAGCTTGCCGACGCATCGGTGGCAGCAGGAATCGCTACCCCTTCGCCTGCTTCGGACAAACCCACTTCGAAATCTAGTAAAAAGGGGAAGAAGTAAGGAACTTCACTAGGGTGTGACTTGTATTGTTTTATCGGGTTTAGGTCGAATTATTTTGGAATTGTTTGGGTTCAGAAAAGGTGGGCGCATTGTTGATGGGTTCTTTTCTTCCCGTGTCCTCGCGAATTCCCTCAAAGCTCATGTCCAATATCTGGTGGTGTCCATGCTCCACACACAGTTTTCCTGGTTGGCCGTCGGTAGAATCTCTATCGGCGACACTATCAGGGCATTGTTTTGGGTTGGATATGGTGACATAGGCCAAAGTCACTGCTCTTTATTTAGTTTTTAGAGGAGAACTGACAGCGGAGATGTGATACGTTGAGATTCCTTGTTTTCCGGTGCGGTGAAATGCAGACAAAAAATAATTCTGGCATACTGTTTCACGTTTCGCCCATGTGTGTGGTTGTGAATAAAAGTGGTAATTTATAACATTGACAAACATGCGTATACTAATGAGTAGTGAGTACCGACATCATCAGACAATGTTATAACATTTCGTGCATTTTATATCATTTTGCTACGTACTACGTAGTGACAAAAGCTGCGTGGTAATTGCGAGTTTTGTTACCGAAGACACTTCGTAAGACACCGAGTCCTTCAAAGACAACTTCGCTGGTGTATTGCCATCACACACACGCACAGCCGGCAAAGAAATGACAAGAAAGAACTCGACATATATGCTTGCGTAACAATACCAATAATGCCGTTCGCCCTTTCAGTGACCGGCCCTTGAGTCGTCAAAGTAATGACCCTGGCTCGCGACGGTCACGGCTCGATTTGCGTTCAGTACCGCCGTACCTACGGATGCAATTCCAACCGGCCGTCAGCCGCCAACTTTTGTTCGAGGGGAACGTGGGCTATGCAATCAGCAAGTGAGTGCTACAGCTGCTACGTAACACTTGTGTATCCAAGCGAATGATACTGATTGTCAATGAATATTCATGATTTTCTATAAAGTAACTGTAAACGCGATTTCATCGCTGATACTTTAATGGAGGTCGTCCTCATCTACACGAGTTGAAAATGACCCGAGTAATCACAAATATCGATTTCTTAGGCTCATTGGTAAGTGACCTGAGTTTGGATTCATATGTGAAACTCATAAGTTGTTTTCGTCTGCCGTATATGATGCGCCATGTCATATGTAACAGTTGATTTTGATTGTCCATATTGACCACAATTGTACGTTAGATCCCTCTTGAGTTTTCAACCATCGGGCAGCTGCTAAAAAGGTAAATATAAACAAATAATTGCGTACACACAGTACAATCACTCAATGACTAGTTCAGCTAGACATCACACTCGCTCACTACACATCGAGTCGTTACTTCACTCGCGATCATCGCGTCGTGTACAATACACATGACACACTACGGTTAGAAAATAATACTCCACCAATCCATTGTCACGCATTACAGCCTCATGTACACGTACTTCAATTACAATATGCACAACAGTAACTCAGCTATCCCAGGCATCCAAACAGCCCGGCTGAACAACACAATAGTTTTGTCTCCGTCAACGGAGACATGAGCAGTGTCATATATCACCAACAACATCACATATACTTATGTAGAGTAGCGTCAGAACGGCGCCGCTCCTCCGACGTCGGCAGGCCCCTGACTAGTCTGTCCGTGGGCCGTGGCCCCCGACTCGTCCGCCGGGTCACTGTGAGCCGTGGGCCCCGTCCGCCGTGTCACTGTGAGCTGTGGGCCCCGTCCGCTCGGTCCCTGTGAGCTGTGATCCCTATCTCGTCCTACGAGTACCGATATCCCTATGTGTCCGTCCGCCGGGTCACTGTGAGTCGCTCCAGCGGGAGGTGACGGGCCGCTCGGAGCACCCGGCGGTCGGTCGCGGCTGACCCCGGCTCAGCGTCAGCGGTACCTCGCTGGCGGCAGTGACGGTCACATCCGGCGGTACAGAGGGCGGTACGCTGTCGGCCAGCGCGTCCCGGAACGGGGTCGGGGTCCGCAGGTGACTGTACCCGTACGAGTCGTCCCCTGCGGCAGACAAACGTCATTAGATTCACAGGATTCACTGCACAGTGCACGTCGACAGTTCCGAGCAAGAACATCCTAATGTCAAATTTTTCGAAGTTGAGATTTTTATACCATTCGACTCAGCTCGATAAGCTGAGTCGAATGGTATGAGCATCTCAATTTCGAAAGATTTGACACTTAGGATGTTCTGCTCGGAACTGTCGACGTGTCTACGCGTGCGAGTCGTATCTCTATTGTGAAGATGGGCATTGGGCAGCATGATTTCATTATTTCAGCCAGGTTCGAGCAAAGCGATAACCAGCGTAGGGAACCATCTGCACCTAACAGCATTAACCGGCGTCTAAAAAAGCTGCTAACGGTTCTTACATCGGACTAATGTGATAGTTTTGTTTCTGTACAGAACATTGAGCGTCATGGGACGGTGTTGCCGGCCGTCCCTCGCCCACGCACCGTCTGGGGAGCCGTCCCGGCGGGGCGGCAGGTCCGGCAGAGTCATCAGCTCCACCTCCCCGGGGCCCTCCGGCTGGACGACAGTGATGGTCGGGAACGGACCGCGCTCAGTGTCAGGCAGCAGACGGCAGTCCTCCGGCTGCAAATACAGGCGTCAGTAATTCACATAGCCGTGACGGTGCAGTCCCATTGTAGAGCATGGAGCTGGGTCTGAGGTCACAGATTATAAAGTACGAAATACACGTTTTAAGTTTTATGTAATGCCTTACTGACCTGACCTTACTGCCTTTGACGAGGCTAAAGGATGACAACATGTGCAGAGAAGGTTCATGATTCTGTCGCAGCTGCTGATTCGAGAGCAATGTTCGGTGGGCAGTGTTCGCCATGGGCCGGGCCAGCCCAATGGGCCATGGGCTGGGCTGGGCTACGGGCTGGGCTGGGCTCTCAAATATGAAGGATCGATGGGCTGTTGATGGGATGGGCCAAGAACTCGTAAGTGGAGCCAGGGGTTCGCAACTGAGACAAAAACTACATATAACTACATAGCTTGTTGCTGTGCAAGACTAAAAACCGAGTTAATAAAACACGCATGCAACCTTTGGGTAGGGTAAGGTGCCTAATTAGCGACCCTTTCCGATTTGCGACCTACCTCCCTACAGAAAAACTGGCAGGAGAAAACGGGGTAAAAATATCGTCAAAAGGTCAGCCATACTTTGGTTATCAAATTAAATTATATTCCGGTCGTCGATGTTTCTGGTGGGACGTTTCAGGTGAGTTTAAATAAAGATGACGAGTTTCTTATCCAAAACGTGTGTGTTTGGGCCCTCTCTGTCTCTCTGATGAAAAGCGATGCACATTAGGATGATGCACCTTTTTTAATCTGAATCGACGTTCCTTCTTCAATTGATTGCCGTTTTCCCATAGTGAATCGCTCAACTGTGCACAGCATGGCGGTTAAAAATGTGTCGCAACTCATATTTCCTATTTGCGCCTGACATGGTCGCAAATAGCTCAAGAAGGGAAGGAAAGGGGAAAAGAGAGAAATGAAAATAGGTGTTGCTGAAGCTTGCAATGTGTGGCAGGGGATGCCAAATGTCGTCACCGACTGCAGGGGTGCCGAATTCAGCGCGGACCTCGAATATCATACGAGATAGCCCGCAAAATTTGGGTTTCCGCCTTCTTTTCGCCTTTCGGTGCATCACGTGATCAGTTTTTACTTCCGTAAATGTGTTGGATAAACGTTCCTGTTCGAGTGATTGAGTGCTTTGCGTATAGGTTACCTTTTTGAGATCATATTTCATCTTTTCAGGCGTCGCATTTTTTGCCATTTTTAATATGGGGAAACCCATAGACTTATTAGCGACCCTCCCCGGTCGCTAATCGGGACGAGTTCCCTATTAGCGTTTTTTTTTTGCAATGGTTTGCCAAAATGCTCACTACAAATAAGTTAGTGAATATTGGGGCAGAAAATGACTATATTTTAATAGAAAAATGAACGGTCTCTCCGAAAATCAAGCCAGTAATACAGTGGCACCCACAGAGCGTGAGCAATGACGGTTCAAATTAAGGGGGTCGCTAATTAGGCACCTTACCCTACCTGTTGGGTGTCAATAATTTTTAACCCATTCATTTTTGGCGGGCTGGGCCGGGCTGGGCTTTGACGCTTTTACCATGAATGGGCTCGGGCTGGGTCGGGCTGTGAACCCATGGGCCTGGGCTGGGCTGGACTGGGATTTTGCGGCCCGTGGCGGACACTGGCGGTGGGCCAGTAATGACGCCTATTTCTCCCGTCACGGCACGGGCTAATAGGCTAGCTAATGTAGCTATGCCAATGTTTGCTCACTAATAAGGTAACTTCTTATTCAAACAGTAACGATTTACTAATTTACGAGCCAAGTACCACAGATATATCTGCACCGGTCGCATTTACCTTGTCGATGCTGTCCCCGATGGAGTTAGAGCGCGCGCTCCGAGCGGAGAGGGAGCTGGTACCGTCGGGGTCCACCGGGGCCGCCGACCCCGACGGTCGGCCAGCCTCGCTACGTGCTGCTGCTGGAACCCGAAACAACGTTACAGAGGTTAGGTGGGCACATGACATCTACGGCTATACACGGTTCGACAAGCTATGCGTTCTCTCACATGACACGTTCTCTATTGCCGAAGACACAATTACGTGGTGATGCGTCCTATACTGAGGCGTCTGGTTGTTCCTTGATAACTTACGCTGATTTGAGTGACCTTTTTATTAACTAAGGATAAACAACAACCGGGAGCATGCTGTCTGATCTAAGATGCAGTAAATATAGGCGGCATATTTTTATTTCACACTCCAGTAAAGTTAATGTGGCTATTTTATTCTATTAGGTACATTTAGTACGGTTGATTAATACACTCAGTTTAGCCATTTATTTCATTTCATTTCCTACCTATCATATAACGGCCTCGCAAGACAAGTTTAAAAGACTTATTTATTTTAATAGCCACAAATCTGTTATTTTATCCACCTTCCACACTTTTTATCATATCGTCTCCAGCCTTCGCAAGTTCGGTACGTAAAGCTGCAATGCAATCCAAGTTTAGTTTTCAGTGCTTAGACGGCTCTTTTCCCAGCTGAAAACACGTTCCTGATCACATCTGTTCATCCTATATGTATATCCACGGTATAGTAAGCCGGTAACAGGCTACGACCCTTAAGTCGCACCAACTTTATTCCACCGTGCCTCCTTTTATTGGTGATGTTTCATATAGGTAACGGTCACATGGGACAGTCGGGTCTTCCAGTGACATAAGAATCACATTAGGCATCATGTGCGTTTATTGCTTCAGATTTTCGTACAGAGGCGATTACAGTACCGGTCATGCATGACGAAGAACGAAATACAGCATCACAATTCACATGTATGAATTGTGAAGATAGGAAAACACGGCTATGCACTAGGTTCAAAAAGCTTTGGTTGAGAAATAAGCGAAGGGGGGGGGGGGCTAGCAACAACTTTGACGGTAACATCAAGTAATGTAAAAAGCGTGCAAAAGCAAATCTGAATTGCGAAAGGTTGAGAAATCAATCATCAGATCCGACAAGGTGGCAAGCGTCCTCGGAGTAGCAGCCGTCAGCGAGGGATCACAAATGTTGACTGTCCGATCGGAGGTGATCCATCGGCGGCTGAACCTTCCCAAGAACACCGTTCACCCCGCTACCGTCGCCTCTGGAACGTCGCTGCCGCAGCCGCGGGTCCGTCAGTCGGTGTCCCCGGGTGTCAGCCGCCCGTGGCGAGCTCCTCAGACCATGGCAGCCGCGGCGGACCTCCCGTTCAGAAGCTCTCAGTGGCCGTCAGAGGAGTGGTATCGGTATCAGTCGTGGTGTCGACGTCAGTCGTGGCATCAGTGTCGGGGTCCACGGTGTCGGTGTCGGGGTCCACGGTGGTGGTGCCTCCCTCGGGCGGAGGACCGCCCTGCTCCTCCTCGGAGGAGCTCGCACCGCTCTCCTCGGAGCTCGCGCCGCTCTCGTCGGAAGAGCTGCCGCCGCCGCCCCGCTGCCTGGCCGCACGACTCCGGCCCCTGCCGCCCCTCTGGCCGCGCTGTGCAGAACACATCGGTGGTCAGTGAGGACAACCCGAATAACAGGCAACAGCTGCTTGAACATGAAGAGGTGGTTAAGTCTTACTGGATAAATAATGAATGATAAGCGGAAAATATCTACATGTTTTACGATGGTAGAACATTTATCTAAGAATTATATACCTACACTTCCATTTGCTAATTCCCCAGTCGGGTGAAACAGGTAAAACAGGCTTGGCATATTACTGGGTATGGCTGTGTAAGAATTTCCGCACATCAATAATCGACAAATCTTTCGCTCACGCCCAACTTTTCAGAAGCTTGAGATACCAGATAACAAAGCACGGTTCATTACATTCGACGGAGACTCAGGCAGACAGTGCTCACCTTGGGACTGGCCTCTGCGGCCAGCAGGACGGCCGCCAGGCACACGCACAGCAGCAGCGCAGTGGAGAGACGCATCGTGATCGGATGGCGCCCGCCGGCCGACCGCCGCCTATATACCCCCGGGACACGAGCATGACTCGCCCACCAAACACGGTCACGTGACCGTCATCACTCCGTCCGGATAGGGAGGAGTGCACGTTATCACCGGTGACAACGCAGGCAGCCGGGTCGGGTAAAAACTCTTCAAAAATTCGCGCACACAGCCATCTGATAGGGATCATGTAGGGAAAACTTGGGTATTATCGGACCGGTAACTTCAAGCCATCGTAACATGAAGGTTATCATTTTTATGTAACTGGGAGTCATTTAAATATATGTAGAAAGCCCAAAACTTTGTTTTTAGAAAGTCTGCTGAGGGTCCGGTGTTGCGTTGGAGCGCAGCGATTTTTTACTTGGGTATTATCGGACAGCAGCAGCAAATTAGGGACGGGCGTCCAAATGAATGGATCCCAAGAGTCTTGATATTGATATTGGTTCCCGAGTTATGCGCTGGCTTCTTGCTCTTTCGAACGCCACCTTCCGCGTGTCGCTCCGTGGCCTAGGAGCCGAGTTAGAAGAGGGGGAGGGGGTTCAAACACCTCCCCCATGGGGTAATATCGGATGGGTGTCCGATAATAGCAAACACGTAGGCCGTTCAAAATGCGTCAAAATGGGAGCAACAAACACATTGAACACAGATAGTTGGCCCATAATCGATAACAAAAATGTTCAGGTAAGTGGAAAAGGTACAACTTCGCAGTTACAACTTCTTCATCTCTGCGATAACAGGTAATTAATAAGTTGTATGGATGGAAGGACAAATGGCGATTATCGTAAAACAATTATGACAGCCTATCGGCAGGGCCTTGGGCAAACTGCCTGCGAGAGGAGGTGGTGACAAAGGAAATCCAGCGCTACCTTTTTCCAAATAAAATATTTGCGTATGCACCTGGGGGAGAGTGGGGGAGAGTTCAGAAGATAACTGCCTGTCCGTACTGGCCGATATTACCCAAATTTCCCCTATTTGAACATTCAGGTGCTATTTTGGATAGATAGGACGGACAGAGGAAACAAAAGAAGGCTATCATGAATCATGATAAATTGAGTCGTCTGCCCGTTAAATCCTATCCAACCATTTATGGCGAAACCAAACCGTGACAGCGGTAGCCGGTAACAGAGGTCAGCATTTTACTCCAATATCCGTCAGAATAACTACCACTACCAGCCTACTGACTGTCGAGTCGATCACGTACATGTACGAGGATAACAGGCAGTCGATCAGTTCAACCCTGTCGCTATCAATGGAACCGAACGACATTTGTCAAGTCAATGGCTAGTCTTTGTAAAAAGACGTCCAAAGACCTATTAAAAAAAATGGTTCGAGACTTTTGTTAGTACGAACTCATACATACGCAGCACGTCTTGCGAGGGCCCCACCCCTTCTGCCGTTCTATCTTTAATTCCGCGTTGTCGAAATAATTAAGAAGCCAACGAATAGCATAAGTGCAACATGAGTGCAACACACATCCGAACACTATTCATCCCACCGACAGACTTCAGCTGCCTGCGACTGGCTCCAGCAACCGCAGAAAATCCTCGTTAGCAGTCACTTATGTAGAGCGCCGGAAAGACTCAACTCAGACTCTCACCACCGAGAGTCCATCGCTCTACCGTCTTAGCTGGCTGCTGAACGGACAAACGTTATCAATGCTACTGCAGGATGGGCCCGATGGCGAGACACAATGCTGAGTGCCAAAACCAGCTCAGCGTAGATTGCTTGAGCTCAGATCAACGACCTAGCTATGCAATAGAGTTACAGTACCATCAAGGTGCCTTTCTATCTTGGACGGGATCGTCTTGGACAGGTGGATTAATGACAGGCACTAGGCAGATAGTCGACCGGCAAAGGGAGGGAGAAACGGTACACTCAGCCGATTACAGTTTTCCTGTGAGGGTGCAATAACGCTTGATACCTGGCAACTGACTATGGACAATCCAATCCCAACACCGTGATCAGTTTTGGGATCGAAAGTCTCGAGGCCTCGGTGAGTGGTAAAAGTCCCTAAGTTTGAACGAGCTTAAACGAGGTTGGCCGCAGCAAAATGCCGTTTGTAATTGTATGTAAAGTGCATATTAAATAGTAAAAACAGGTGTACCAACCGCACCTTTTATCGGTTAACGTTGCACCGAACTTTGGACGTAAACCACGCTTACGTTTTAATTCACTTAAAATACCGTGGATAGGCGATTCCTGAATGATTGACGTGAGAACCATTTCCAAATCGAATGCAATTACCCTTTTGCGTACACTATAATCGTACCCGGATACGTCTAGCACTCAGCAGGGCTGGATTGTTCGCGTCACCGGAACCGGAACACGTCAGAGCGCCTATGGCAGTGGCTCGTCATGTCACGGCCCGGGCGGTGCCGGCGAGTGTCACGGCCGGCGGCCGCCCGTCGCGTGACACGGCGACTCTGCAGCTGTGACACCGCGAGAAATGAGATGTGACGGTGCGACTCGGCGCTGCGACTGGCACCGACGCATCCGGCCGATACTGGCGTAACGAAAAATTGACGGGCAGCCAGCGCTGCTCGCTGTATGATTGCAGATGAAAATTTTGGCTGAATGAATAAAATACGGCCAGTCCCGATATCGCTATAAAATCTTTTCGAGTGCCATGAGCCGCAAGAGGTAGCAGAGGTGTAAAAGTAGGTACTATCAGCGAAGATGTTGTCCATTTGGGTAGGCAAATGCCGATGCGTACCGCATTGGTGTACCTAATCTGTGAAGTCTGAAGTGCATCCGCACGGCTGTGGACAATGATGCCGAGCCTTCTCATGGGCAGGGGCATGGCCACGAGATTTTATCAGTGGGAGGGTTGCAAGAGACGGTGATTATTCCGATATATCTGTGTAAAGGTGAGTGATACCCTTGATGCGGGGCTCCGGCAGCCCTATATCCCAATAAATCTCAGAACTGGTAGTCGAGCCCAACCCGAGTGATCAGGGATTGATGATTTATCCGCTGTGCGGATGATCCTTTCCTGACCCTTAAATCGCCCATCTTTCATAAATGTTTTTATTGGATTTTTTCCTTGTACGACAGATTGGAACCATTTAAGAAATCAATTAAAGAACAGCCTAAATTTTAATCGTTCCATTGCGAGTGAGTTATTGCTCTTATTTTTTCGCTGAAAGTAATAACATCGAAGCGATGCACCTTTCAGTTAGGAAGGAATATGCTCGGCTAGCCGAACTATTCCCTACAACACGAAGGTGCTTCATCACCCGTCATAGTTTTTACTAACTAATATACCTAATGCAATCGCCATGTGCATAATGAACACAACTGCTTAGTACCGGAACATACTGTGTTCCTTAGAAATTGCAGAGTTGCAATTTTTAATCATTCGTCAACATGCTAATTCCTTGTAGGTCCGCGTTCCCACTCACCGTGTCTGAGGCTCTGTTTGCGGTGGAAGTGGCAGCAGCTGATGAGGACCGCGTTCAGCACCACCAGGAAGACGATGCCGCAGAGGGAGGCGGCGCCGACCAGCAGCCGGGGGTAGGGCAGCCGGTCCTCAGAGTCCTCCCGGTCCGTGACGTACCCCACCGGCGGAGTGCCTGTCAGAGGGAGGTCCACAGCAGGTCAGTGACTGGGTATAGCGGCCCGGCTCACAGCCGGGTAATCACAGGAGCAAACACCGCCATTGGATTAACTCGGAGCCCCGGCGTCTATTTCTGAACGACCAGATACGATCACGGCTACACACTCCACCGGTCCTGATCACTCAGTAATTAGCAATGCAATTATGTGGTCGATATACCATCCGCCTCGAATAGCCAGACCAGCGTTCTACCGCAAGTCGGCGACCAGCCCAGATCTACCACTGGTCCTTATTACCCCAGACCTATACCGCTTGACCTGATCAGTGATCAACCAGGGTTCTACCGCAGGTGGAGACCGACCCCCTGGCCTATCGCTGGTCCTTACTGCAGCCGGGGACCTGTACCGCTCAGGTCCTAACCAGTCCTGTGACCCAGCTAGCCAGGGTTCTACCTATAACGCAGACCAGCCCCGAACCTACCGCTGGTGCGTACGATGAGCGGCGGCTCGGTGTAGGTGCCCACGCCCAGCTGGTTGTAGCCGGCCACTCGGAAGGTGTACTGGGCGTCCGCTCGCAGACCGCCGACCGTGAAGCGGGCCGAGTTCGGGTCGCCGTCCCGCACCGTCTCCTCGCCCGACTCCCACTCCGAGTAGCGGAACCGGAAACCCTGGCGACGAGACACGGCGAGCTTAGACGGCTGACTAAGCATAAAAATAATAATACACAATGACGCATTCTGGAAAGACCTATTCCGTCCATACGTCTTTCCAGATCCATTATCACATCTCAGAAGAACACAGGCATATCTCATGCCTCGACAATATCGTTTTCAAGCACACTTATTCTTACATACCTATCAGTCGAACCAGCTTGTCGCTTTGATAAAAAAGCGGGAAATGTCCACATGGTAATGGACATTTACCGGTAAACGTTAGATGGCGCCAAGCCATTTGAGTTTTTATCCTCACAAGAATAGCGAATATCGACAAGAATACCTCCACCCGCCTAGCGACCGGACGGGAGCTTGGCGCCACCTGGATGGGAGCCTGTTTAATCCCACTTTGCCCAGTAATGGGAGGTGCAATCAAATTGTAATCCCTTACCAAATTACTCCGCAGTCCAAATTACCGCTACATATGAGATGACTCGGTTTAATCTAGCAATATGTCCCTGCCTCTCTCTCCCCCCCTCTCTCTCTCTCTCTCCCTCTCTCTCTCTCTCCCTCCGCTAACCTGGATGAAGCCGCCGTCGAAGGCCGGCGTCCAGGCCAGGGTGACAGCCCCGGACGACACGTTGAGCACGTGCAGGTCGCGCGGCGGGTCGGGCGCCGACGGCTCCACCAGCCGCACCCGGTGAGTGTCCGAGCCGAGACGGTTCGACGCGCGACACTCGTACTCGCCGTAATCCGACTCGGTGATGTCACTGATGACCAGCACTGATGCCCATCTCAGGACGTCAATCTGCCGAGAATGAGAGGATTGTGTTAGTCCATAAAACGCAAAGGCCTCCCATTTCCACACACTAGAAGAGGGAGGTAGTTGAATAGCTCCCTCCCATCTACATAGCTGGAGCTCAGGACTTCATGTACCTGTTGTCCCTTGTAGATACACAAGTGACAACAGGTACTCATTTCATCGCTCTAAATCTCGCTTTGAAGTCGACCTTATCAGCAGGGCATAGGCTAGACTAAGCAGCTTATTGTCAGACTGTCTACCTTTGAGGAGTTGTTTACCGTTTGCCCGCCATATGTAGGTAAGTGCACCTGTTTTGAAGCGGACAAGGCTTTCCTTTCAGCGGCGCTCCGCAGCTCACCTGTTTCCGCTCGGTGCCGTACTTGCCGCCGGAGCCCGTGCCACTGATGACGTCACCGTCACGTGACCAGCTGAAGGCGACCGCCGGAGCCCCGCGGGCACGGCAGGTCATGTGGGCCTTCTCCCCCAGCCGGGCGGCGGCCCTGGCGAAACGGACGCTTTTGGCGATTTTAGCCGGTTCTGCCAAAATCAGGTAAATGTCAGGAAACGTTCGGTAGAAAACATGCAAGGGTTTTGCGGTGAATATGGTCAATATCAATGTTCGAGAGCGCCATGCGTTGTGTAACCCACTCCAGCCCACCAGTGGCATGTTTTGAACACTGAACGGCTAAATTCGTTCGAATTTTAATCTAATCTTATGCTAAAGAATTTCAGTCACGAAAATCGGAACATTTTTATCAGCCATTATTAGCAACTAGCAACGTAAACACATTATGAAGAAGATAAAACATATGCAAGTGCTTCTAACATCAAGCGAAAACTATGCAGCCTTATTGCAATATTTATTCCTCGTCGCTATATTTATGTAGCTAGTAGCGACGCGCAGGAACTAAAATAGGCACATAACCTTCATTTGTTATTTTAAGTACCACGCCAAGTACGATGCCGACTGGAGAGTTATTATAAAAATTGTTTACCTTGAATAACCACTGTGAACGTGGCACTGTCGAGTCCGAGGTCGTTCGTCACGGAGCACAAAAAGTCGCCGGCGCTGTCCTCGGTGAGGGCCGGTATCCTCAGGAAGGAGGTGCCGTTGAGGTAGCTGGAGGTGAGGTTGAGCGGCTGCCGCTGACCGGGCCGGGACCAGCTGAACATGCTGCCGCTCAGCGGGTTGGCCTCGGCCCGACACGGCACGTCCAGACGGCCGTGCCGAGCTGCAGTGATGATCGACGGTGTCTTGAAAACTTTCGGGGGATCTGGAATAACGGAGACAATGTGTTCGTCAGTCACATGTTTGTATTTTGATTTGCGCATTCTATAAGTGGCGTGCATAATATTAATCGTATTGAAGACATATCGCCCCGTGTCAAAGAACAGCACGGTATGAACGTCAAAATATGAGGTATAAAATAGCACTTTTTATTGATAGGGCCTTGGTTTATTCGTTAATTTCATTGTCCACAGTCCTACACGAGTCAATATCCTTCATACTGTATCGTTTTGACTGCACGACTGCGTCTGTGATTATTGGGCATGCTGTCTGTTTGCGCCTTTTACAAAATAATAATAATAATGAATAAAAAATTAACAATAGGTGTGCCCGACTAAGCGACCCGTTCTCACACAGCACGTCGACGTGAACTCGGGCCGAGGCCGAGCCCAGCGCGCTGGTGGCTCTCAGCAGGTACCAGCCGGCGTCCTCGCGTCTGACTGACGTCAGGTTCAGCACTCCGTCAGCTGACGTCAGTAGTCGCCCGTCAGCTGACGTCAGTAGTCGCCCGTCAGCTGACGCGCCCGCCCCGTCAGCCCGCGACCACACGTAGTCCCTCACGGGCGGGTTGGCCCGCGCCGTGAGATTCAGAGACAGCGGCTGACCACGGACGGCTGTGGCGTTCAGCTGCGGCCGCTCGAACACAGGGGCGTCTGGGGAGAGAGAGACGGGGAGAGAATCAGAGTTGAGGGAGATGGAGAAAAGAAAGAGAGATTGGGAGAGAGGAGGTATATTTCACGCTAAGGAGTGAAAACATTTAACTTAATTTTTTGTTACGCAATTTAAACGCTAACTTGAACCCCTCAACCAGAACTTTCTTCGACCATTTCTAGTCATCTGGCCACGAAGCGAAAGCCCCAAGTGGAAGCCCAACACTCACGCTGTACGTGCAGTTTGCGGACGGTCTGCAGTGTGCCGGTCAGAGCCGGCATCTCGGCCTTGCAGACCAGCTCCGCGCCGTCGTCCGTCCAGCTCAGAGACTTCTTCAGGACGCTGCGGCTCACGAAACTGGCGGCGAAAGAAGTGACACGGGATAAAACTTCGTCTACTAGAGCTAACTTTTATTGAACCAAATGCTGGTAAGTGACACCTCTCCCTCGAGGCATCAAGAATTAGGAAATGATTAGGAGTTTCGGTCCCGAACATTCTGCATTTTTCGTATACATTCTTATTATTATTTCCAAGCGTTGGAATCCTAGACGTTTTTACCTTTTCTAGCCGTTTTTTACTTCAGCCGGGCAACAATATCACCTCCGGTCTCTCGAGTGGCCGTGTCTGCAGTCGCTCACCCTCCGTGCTGTCCGGTCGGCACCGTGTCCTCTCTGACGACGTGCTCGGTGACGGGCCGACCCCCGGACCACCAGCTGAGCCGAGCCGCCGGCAGAGACGGACGCGACTCGCAGGTCAGCTCCCCCGGCTGGCCGGCACGCAGCGGCGACGGACTGACACTGATGTCCAGTCGGCTGGGAGGAACTGGAAAGAACACAGTCAGAGGTTCAGTTGAAAATCCACCTCTGTAGAGCAAACAATACTCGGGGAGCATTTTCAGTTGAATGGAGGGCGTTATCTGGAAGACATTACTGGTTCACATTAAATCACTGCTTCACAATAAATCGCTCGACAGTAGCGCACAGTGTCTCAATAGTGAGCCCAAGTATCCTCCACAAGTGTCTGTCCCTCGGTCTGATCTATCTTGACAGGCTATGTGATTAGCCGGCGACAGTGCACCTGCCATGCAGTATGCACTATGTTGTCATTTGTTCTGACAGCTTACTGGCTGAGCTAAATTGAACTTCCACTTTCCATGTTAGATAATGCTGGTAGACACAAAGCATTAGCGGTCCATGGCAATTAATATTCTATGCCCCGTCATTGGATGTTAAACGCTTCACCCAGCTTCAGTTTTAGCTTACGGTGGCGGGGTCCTATTCGCGTCTCTGCGCAATTACAGTCGTAAAATGTTAGAACAGCGGTAAAGCAAGGAAGGCATAAAGATAAACTTTAAACCGGATATAACGATGCAAAACATGCAAAGGCCTATTTGAACAACAGTGACATAATTAAGTGACCATTGTATTACATTTTGCATTGGGCTGCCTAAAGGAAGACGGTGTGCAGAGAGGCTGAACCAAGGGCTGAACTATCTTATTGTCGCAACAGAGTTATTGAAACCGTACTCTTATTTCATCACAAATTATCTCGGGCGGTCGACATCGCGAGTCGCGACATTATTATTCATCATGTTTCCAAGTTCTCGGGTTTCCTTTCCTCCTCTCCGACTATGCCCCGGGAAAGGGGAGCAGCTGGGAGGTGACCCGCCACTCACAGGAGACCCGCAGCGTGGCGCTGGCGTCGCTGGGCCGGTCGGCGGCGTCGCTGCGGCTGCGGCAGGTCAGCCGGCGCCCGTTGTCCTCAGCGCTGACAGTCAGCGTCAGCAGGCTGAGCGTGTCGCGGCCGGCCTGCTGCTGACGCGACTCGAGCGGGCGCGCGCCGCTCAGCCAGGAGAGCCGCGGCCGCGGGTTACCGCCGCGCACCAGACAGCTCAGAGTGACCCGCTCGCCGGCCTGCAGCACCTCGTCCGGCGCGTAACCCAGGATCGTCGGCGGCTGCGGCGCCTCTGTCGAATGAAAGGGCAGCGTAAGGATGAACATTCAATTAAATTCGCGATGCGCCAGTGGGGATTGGCTCTACCCATTCATAATCTACCTACACATAAACAGATAAATACTTCCTTTCATGTGAGCTCAGATAAAAGGGCTTACTCACGTCAGATCAATTACAGCCAAAAGGTTTTACCATTGTATGAATAAAGCATTTAAGCAGACATGTGCATGGATCCGAGTGATGGATCTATGATCTCAGTGGATCTCGAAGCAAAGTACAAGTTGGGATCTATGATCCCACCGGATCCGGCGTGAAAAATACATCTTGGATCTATGATCTCATATGATCTGACGATAAATTAAGAACATGGATCTATGATCTGAGTGGATCCCACCATGCACCACATTTGAAACCATGTTTTAAAGGGTTTCTATACCAATAAGTGACACAAAACTATGGATTATGACGTGCAATCACATAAAATCACTAAAACAGAACGTTTGTGAGTTGAAACAAGTGCTTTTTTGCGATATATGTGTTAACAAAAAATAAGTGAGGATCTATTATCTCAATGGATCTCAAGCAAAAAATGAAACTCGGATCTGTGATCCCTATGGATCTCTCGATAAATTACAGAGCTGGGTCTATGATCCCGACGGATCCGAGATCAGGATCCGTGGGATCCGATCCCAGATCCATTTTCTCGGATCCATGCACATGTCTGCATTTAAGAGTATATTCACCAAGCTAATTATCGCAAGGGCAGCTTTCTACAATTTGGGCGTATAGCTGCTCCAGCACGGAGCACGACCCTGAAGAGACTCCCAGTCCCTGGCGGGCTGACGAAGACCGATAGTTTTCCGGGCCGATTTTCCGCAACACTGTGACCTGAATGCAGGGAGAAGGCGCTACATCTCAGCGGCTTATTCTGCCCAAACCGGCCAGGGCCGACTCATTCTCGCACCCCGGTCGGGTGCTACGTGAGCTGGCCGCTGAGTGCGGCAGTCTCGCGGGTCGCAGCAGTGACGCAGGCCGGCCCCACTCACGCAGAACGGTGACGAGCGCCGTGCCGTCGCGCGGCTGCGGCACCGCCGGGTTCTGGGCGAAACAGCGCAACGGGAATTGCTGGTCGGCGTCGGCTGGCACCAGCGCTGTGACGTTCGAGCTGGAGATCCAGCCGCCGTCCGGGGCCGGATGCGCCGCCCATGTCGCCTGCAGAACAGCGACGGGTCGTAGTTGCCAGAAATACAGCAGACAAGAACATTTGTCTCAGCTTCAGAGTAGCGTGTAACAGTTACAAACGCACCTTGTACTTACGTGACGGAGAGATGAGTCCGTCTTAGTTCAAAAATGGTGGGCGTACCTACCGGCTCGCTTGCGTTTCGATATTCTCGTTATATTCCAGTTTAAATCGTCCTTTGGTCTTAGAGAGGCCTTCTATCATCATAGCCCAGCATGCGTATGCATTAGTTTACCGTTTGATACCTTTGTGTGTAAATTGCATATATGTATTGCGACTTTGCAGGGTGACTATACTTCCATTCTCATGCCTTTAAATGATCGTGGTACATACGAGTGATTGTCACGTTATGTTACGTGCCAGCTGTCAACTGCTGAGCGAGGGGTGCCAAAATAGTTCCACTTAGGTACAACACCTCAGAAGGGCTCGGTGAATGGTGCAGCAATGTGGAAAAAAACGGCATCCTACGCGACGGTGACGTTTTCAGGTATTTCACGCACATTTGGGGTGAAAGTGAACGTGCGCACGTACCGGGTTCACTTCAGACCTATTAAAAAGCCAGAACAAGAGCTTTGCTCTACTCATCATGGGCATCTGATCATTGGTACGCGTTTCAGTAGCAATCCCGCTATAACATCGTAGAACAACGGTTTAGTATGAAGGGTGCCATTTTGTCTGAAGCGAACTACATTCGTCATATATGTACATACCAATGGTTTTCTATATTTTCAGAAGCAATCAGCCCTTATAAGTTATGTACTTTTATCATGGCTCTTGATGAGATACCTACAACTGATAGGCATCTTATTTCAAACGGACATTCAAAAGAAACCACATGAATGCCAAAACAGTAGACGTACGTAGTATGTAACTCCTGCCTATGGCTGCCGGCCTGCTTCGAATAACATTGCATTGAATATATAATGATGCAACTAGCCGCTACCTTGGAAGCATTTGACCGTACGTCGTTAGGCATTCCATGTCCATACCCAGGGTATATCGAATTAGGTTCCATAGTCCATACCTACATGATAACACTTTTGTAGGCACCTTTGCCCTGAAAATAATATTGACAAAAGATCATATAACTAAGACGTTTAATTGACGCGGTGGCGGTAGTCTTGAAAATGCTTATATACTTTTATTATATAATATATAGGTATAGGTAATATATAGGTATATAAATATATATGGTAATAGCCGTTTTCACGACGGCCATCTGGTACACATTTGGTGCACATCTGGTGCAGATTAGTTAGGTGCAGATTTGGTCAAATTAGGCTCAGTGTGTCTCTTAGTGGCAATCAGCTAGGGTTGTAGGTACTAATCGCTTACATGCATGCTTTGTCATATTATCAGAGAGCATCATCGATTAAAACACTGAAATTAATTAATAAAATAAAGATATTTGCTGTAAAAGAGATTTGGTGCAGATTTGGTCAAATTAGGGGCATTCGCCGGATAGCCCGTCGTGAAAACGGCTAATATATACCTAATAATCAATAACACGGAACAAAAATGATAGACGAACGCGTTTCGGCTAAATCACCGTCATCAGCGTCTAAAAGGAGAACAAGGTTCTCCTTTTAGAACCTTGTTCTAAAAAAATGCAGTAGATATCTTAAATCTTAAATCTCAGTAGATATCTCTTGTTCTCCTTTTAGACGCTGATGACGGTGATTTAGCCGAAACGCGTTCGTCTATCATCTTTGTTCCGTGTTATTATACTTGTCTCAACTGAAATACTAATAATTAATATATACCTACCTAATATTTAATAGGTATGATTGTAGGTCATTAAAATAATTAATTCAAATCCGGGGAGACGATTACCAACGTTGGCTTCCACATTTTGGTAAGGATTTTCATATGAGGTTTATAAAATAGGTATATGTATTAGCATGCAATAGAGCGAAATATACCTAATACCAAATATGTAATATGCAATCCATCAAATTTCCTACTACAAGGCTTCGGATGCCAGATATCTACTGCATTTTTAAGTGCAAACATTTCAAGTCCATGGCGCAGATCCTTTCAGACCAGCGATTGAAAAATATGCTGTGGCAGCATCGCTCCCTGCCCTCCATCGAAGCCCTTTGGCAGGCGCGGTGTAGGCGTCAAGTTCCGTTTCAGGTAATAGATTAACGTTCCGAATAAGCAGTGCTGGCAGATATGGATGGCGCCCGCCGCGGCGAGGTGGTCGGCGGCAGCTGCTCACGTTTTCCAGAACGCCGTCGCTGACAATCCACGTCAGGTTGGCCGGTGGGTTGCTCTCGGACGTGACGCAGCTGACGTGGATGACGTCACCGGACTGAGCAGACGCCGGCGCCGTGACCGACACCCTCTTGGGCGCGACTGAAATCCAGGGGCAGAGGTCACCGACGGACACCGCTATTGATTGGCTCGAGCGCGCCGGTCTCGCCGGTTAGCGGCGCTGAGGCCATCCCGGATCCGCGGCCCCGCCCTCACTACCTAACCACTGCATCCGCCGCCTCAGGTGACGCAGTAACAGCAGCCGCCACTCGTTAAACTCACTTGCTATATCAGACCAATTTCTATGGCTGGTGCCGCGGAGACAAGACAGAACAAATGGCGCGTTTCAAATTTTTGGTCGATCGCCATCAGTCAGGAAGTGATCAAACTGTCGTCGGCCTGAGCGCCCGCACAGGCTCCGACTTAGCGATGGTAGAGTCGCCGTCGCGGTTCCTCGAACGAGGCAGAGCGGGAGCGGGAGAGAGAGAGAGAGAGGAGGGGCTCAGACCGGGTCGCTTTCCGGTTGATTGTCTGTGTCGCTGGCGGCGGTCGCCTCTTGACGGACGCCTCCTCAGCCTACGGCGCAGCCGAGATCGACCCGACAGCTGCCTCAGCATACACCGCTTCCGAGACCGATATTTCGGCTCAGACCCAGCACATCAAACCCAATTTAAAATCCAATAAATAAAAATCCACACAGAACGCACCAGCCGTCAACCCCAGTAAGCAAAGTCAGCGACGACCCATGAGTTGAGTGGGACTATAGGTACCTACAACAACCATTAAAAGGCAAAACAATGCTCTCAAAACATTGTTTCACTTTTTGTACGTTGGACGTTTTAGGGTGGTTATGAATTATTTATCAATCCCGCATCATACATTATTTTATTACAATTACGAAAAGTGCATTATGTAATCGACACTGAAACCAATGTCATTCTACGTTACTTTCAGACCAGCGAGCGCTTTTCTGAGAAGCTGACAGCCATATAAGACCTTAGTCAGGCACCCTCATCGATCTAGCGCATGGTGGATAGCCAAAAAAACATTTATTTAGATTTAGCCGATACAATAACCATCAGCGTGAGCTGCTGCCGGCGAAGATAAATGTCTCTCTGGCAAGTCACAGACAGGTATAGCATCGCTGCATTAGCGCTTCAGCAATCAGAGGTAGCGGCACTATTGTGTGCCGTCTTTTTCGGCCGGCCGCGCTCAGCTGCCCGTCATCGGAGCGGAAAGGCTGCAGGTCTCGGCGGGGCCGGCGGTGGCCCGCCAATAACGGCGCGTTATCTGCGCCCGGCCGACTGATGGCGCCGCCGGCCCGACCCGGACGGAATTCAGGCGGCCAGCTTATGCAGCCTCTTCAGGCCGATAATTCCCTGATATCTCGTCCTAAGTACGACGCCGGTTGAGATCAGGCATCTTTATGGGCCTCTCGGGAAGCCCCCTTACCGGCCGGCCCCGGACCGCGACGTGACTGGGGCGGACCCGCATGTCATCTACCCCCAGACGGATCCACCTAGAAATTGCAGCTTACCAAGGAATGTTAAAATAACGTGGCTTCCATGGGCCTCAGAACCACACATGGACGAAAATAGAAGCAACAGAATGCATAAGTGGCAATCCTACATTGTGAGTTATGGCTGCACCGACTGCCCGGCCTGTCTTCAGTCAGGAAAACAAAGAAAAATCGTTTGAAGTTCCAACTGAGATTGACAATGCAATCAATGCTGAAATATTTCGCTCAGGACTAAGAAAGTGTTTAGAGTCTTTGTAACGAATTCAACCGACCTGTTGGGTTTTGGGACAGCTGAAAAAATATGCTTTTTATCGTAACACACTGTAACCCCTTAATCCTTTGCATATGAACCAATAAAAATTTAAAATGCATACAATACAGTTCACGGCGCTGTCGGCGGTTACTCACAATAGACGTCGATTTCCACCTGGGCGGCCATGGGCTCCGGGTACACTTTGGAGGAGGCCGTGCACCGGTAGACGGCGCCCAGGTCAGTCGGGTCGGCGATGAACGTGTGCGCGGCGGTGGCGGCGCGCCGGCCGGCCCGGTACACCTGGCCCACGGCGCGCCCGTTGCGCGTCCACACCAGGCGCGCCGGCGGGTTGCCGCCCTCCGAGGAGCAGGTCAGCGTGCGCTGCTCGCCCGTGCGCAGAATCTCGCCGGCGCTGTACCCACTGATGGACGGGGGTCCTGGGGGATCTGCAATCAGCCGGCCACGTCTCAGGGCGGCGGATCTATCGCCTAATGGACGGGTTAGAACGGCTCAAACTAAGCCTAAAAGTTTCAAAGGTGCAGTTAGTGAGCTTAAAGACACTTGTCTTGCTGCAGAAGGCGGTTAACATAGATGAGTAATAAACGGCTAGAAGAATTCGGCAATTATCTTCTGGCAACAATTTATTCGCTTCATTAACACTGCAATATATTTCTGGGACGCCTGAAGATTAACGAAACATGATAACAGAACGTATCCGGCAGCTAAATTCTGCTCAAAGGAAAACACAGATGACACCCTTCATCATTATGAAAACATGTCGCAGCGCGCCGTCGCCGGTCGACTCGCCGCGCGGCTGAGAGGCTCGTCCGATTGCTCGGCGCCCCGGGGGACCGCCGTGAAGATTAGTCGCGCTAAGTTCTGACGGCTCGGCGGCGCGCCGAGACGGGCCTGCCGGCGGACCATCACTCACACAGCACGGAGAAGGTGATGCTGGCGTTGAAGCGCTCGCGGTGGCCGTCGGCGGGCCGCAGCGCCGGGTGACGGGCCACGCACGAGTAGCCGGCCCCGTCGTCGGCCCGGCCGGCGTCCACTGTCAGCGACGAGCGGGTGTCCAGACGGCGCGCGTCCCCGACGGCCGCCAGCACCACGGCCGAACCGTCTGCCAACCGCACCGGGCCCGCAGCTCAGACAAATGCAAATTTGTTTTGTATCGCGCCCGGGCTCAATCACTCAGCAGATCGACAGGCAATTTATCGGTCCACCGGCTCGCTGCACCCACCGAATTGACTTGGCAATAAAAACGGCCTCGAGCGAAATAACAGCGTGGGGACCACTCCACGGCACGGTTTAGGAGGGGGCTATTGTGTTGTTATTTCTGGTAAATGGTCTCTCATCTCATGTGGAGCCAATATAAAACTACCATACAAGGACCAGTAAATTCTGAATGGTTAAGCTACGTCTTTATTCTGGGAGAAAGAAGCGCCAGTAAACTACGAGCTCTAAAGTTCTTCGTTTCTCTCGTCCTCTCTGGCTCCCTGGAGAAGCCGGGACTCCCTAATACTGCAACTAACCAGCCCTGGCAGTCGTTGCATGAGTCGTTGGAAGCATGCAATGATAATTGGAGCGGCCGGCCCACCCACCTGCCTCCAGGTGACGGCCGTTGCGCTGCCACTCGATGCCGGCGGCGGGACGGGCGCCGGTGACGTCACAGGTCAAGGTCACCGACTCGCCTCTGGGCACCTGGACCTCGTCGTATGTCGCCACGCCGTCAACGAATGCCCGCAGGCGCACCGACTGCGGTTTTACTGAAAAAAATCCTCCGTCCTCAGTCTGTAGCTTTTAGTAAAATATGTAAATTAATATCTTGGCTATTTCTATTTTTATGACCCAAATCAGTGTTTGAGACAAGTGGGTAAATGAGATCAGTTATATAAGCTGCCCAGTGCCCACACAGATGCGAAATATCAGAGGTCAATATATGATGTCTCATATTATGGGGGGGGGGGGGTAAATACTGGATCGCAGGATCATGGAAATAAAGCAACATATAGTCCCAAACGATTTTGTTGGGGCAGCAAGGCCGGTTGAGACATCACTCGGTCAGGGGTCTTGAGGAGTGTCAAAGTCAGGGATTGCGTGTCCCAATGTTTTCTAATGAAAGTTTTACAGATTAACCCTCGCCCGCACATGGGGGGGTGGTTGCCACCCCCCCCCCAGGCAGTCTTTCTGCTCTGCACTCAACATTTTTAGAGCTAGAAGGCTGATTTTTCGTATAGCTGCTCGTCTATCCTTTCTTGATGTCCACTGAAAATTTCAAGTTTCTGTGATTTTTGATTTCGGAGATATGACCTTGTTTTTCAGGTCATGTCATGACCCAAATGGCCAATTCTCAACATCTTGCGTTTGCCATGGGCCTTGTGAGCTTTTGACACCCTGATTTCGGCCTTTTTTGCCAGTCTTACCTCCCACCTATCATGGAACATGTTCGACGATGTACAGGGGTCAAGGTCAGGGTCAAGGTCAACCTAGGTCATCTAAGATAATTGCGTTTTAGGCAAGCTGAATTTACTTTTTGTGAAGTTTTTTGACTGCATTTTTGGTAAAAGCTTCTCAGATCATGATTTCATGTGATATGGACCCAAAAACAATCGGTGCACGCATCAGTATACACACAGACACACACAGACATACAAACACATATAATTGACCTTGACCTAACTTGACCTGAAATGACCTCAGCAGCAAAATTCTGGTCGGATAGTGTGACAAAGAGGTTCTAGCTGCCTTGGCACCAGAAAACAGCATCGTCATCGGTATTTGATAAGCAGCGCACTTGATATCCAACGGTGACCCAAAACAGCAACATTTTTTAGTTTGACCTGACCTGGAAGGTCAATGACTGACCTGAGAAGGTAAAACTGGGTATCATTGGATTCGTCTCTTCCCAAAGAATCTTTTTGGTCTTTACTGCTAAGCTCTATCTCCAACAGGAACGAAATGGCGCGGGGGGGGTGGCAACCACCCCCCCCCCCATGTGCGTTCTAGGATGGGAAAATGGCATGTGCGGGCGAGGGTTAACGCTTAATTGTATGGCTTACCTACGCGTGCCCTAAAACACACACGATAAGTCTATCTTTTCCTCAAACATGTAATGTAAAACGTGTTCATTTAAGTTCAAATTTTTCTCTGGGGACACAGTTGACAACAGCGTCCTCACATGAGATATTTTTGACAGAGCTGAAGTAATCCGGAGCGGCCTTAGCCGCCGGTTGACGGATGGATATAGATCGGATGAGTCGGCCATGATGGCTCCAATTTGTGGCCGGATGGATGACCATCGCAGAGGCTGAGACCACTGGTTAGCGATATTGTTTGTGCCGCACAGGAATGACATAATAATCCCTAGACAGCTTCAAGAGAACGCCTCATCTGGAAACGTATTTCCTCTGATAATTACTATATAAACTTTCGACGAAATCGTCAAATGCCGAGATTGGAAGTGATGACAAGTTTTTTACGAGCAACAAACGTGTCGAACTTTTCAGGCTACCGGCATGTGAGAGCCATCTTGCGAGTCGGTTGATATATGCGGCCATTGCGTCGATTCCTAAATAATAATTTAAAAAATATTACTTCAATCAAATATCGTTAAACAACCACATCCTTTGAAGTTTCCACGAGGATGAACCACCGTACTCAGCAATTGAAAGCGCTACAGAGCATAATTATTTTCGGAGAGCAAAGCTCTGAATGACTGGTAAATGTTCCATATCGAAAACACGACGGCCTGAACTGCTGGTCGGGACGAAGGCTATGTTGGAGCGGCGCCGGCCTGACTCACGGCTAACGTCTGTCTCTGAGAATAACGTCAAAGTCCGCCTCACTCGCGGATGCCGCCGAGGAATAGCTTCGGTCTGACTCACTGATGATACCGAGTACCGACATATAACGTCGGTCTGACTCACGAATAACGTCGGGGAATAACGTCAGCCTCACTCACGAATGATGCTGAGGTAGGCGTCGGCGCGGATGGCTGGCTGGCCGCCACTCGGTGACACCTGACACTGGAACCGGCCGTCGTCCTCCAGGGTCACGTTGGTGATCTCCAGGTCATGCACGCCCGCGGCCGGGTCACCCAGCAGACGGTACCGAGGGTAGCCCGGCAGCTTGCGCGAGTAGCCTGAAACACACACAGAGCGCTGCTGTCATACGCAACTACCAACCGTTAACAGCTGGGCGAAAGAAAGCGCGATTATTTTCATCGCATTTATTAGAAATTTTAGATGTTGTTGGAGCCAGCCCCCGTTCACGAGTTCCAGAATCCCTTTACCGTGACGTCACCACGGGGGTAGAATCTCCCTTCACCAATAGGCATGCACGCAAATTTCATCATCTTTCGAGCGAGCTGGAGAAAAAAAAGCATTATGTGTCATCAGAAGTTGTACCAATGTAACAATGGGTTCGCCTCATTACGATAAATGGGTCTGAAACTAAAAAATAGGAATATATCGAGTCAAAATCAGCAATTCAAATGACCTCTTCATTTGAACGTGAAGGATTTCCTCTGATGACGTCACCACGGCGCCTTTATTTCCCTAGTGAACCAACCTGAGTAGTAAAGGAATCTTGGTTGGAGCTACCTGGCTAATTCAGCATCAACTTGATTGTGCCCAAATAAAGTCGTCTCATCCTCTTCACGTTCATTCACTGGATGCAGCATTCCCGAAAATTTTGTACAGTTTCAAACATGACGCACTGAACATTGTTTTCTTTCTCAGAAACGTATGATGTCCTTATCGAGTTAAGTTTGACACAACCGAGAAAATAAATCTACATTATGCCTTGACTCATCAGAATTATCTACTGAGATCATATTTTCATCTGAAAGTGATTTCCAATGTGCATCTTCATATTCGTTTTCAAAAGCGTTTTAATGAAAATCATCACGCTAAGCACGCTGTGCAGCAATATGCAGCATTTTCAGCCAGTAAAAATAAAGCAAAAGTAGAATCAATGGGCCGACAAGATGCGGTTAGAGGGCGATCACAAACAGGCGCTGCTGCTTGTCTGTCCGAACGCCGTCGTTTAGGACCGGAAATATTCCTGTCGTGGTAGCGTCACTGCGAGAGGCAGAAACACTGGAGGAACACGGCAGATCAGGAAATGGAACTTGAAAGGTCAGAAGTGAAAAAGTGCAGCCGCCGGTAAACGCGCTTCCAAATGGTGATGGTGAGTGGGGCGTCCTATCAAGAACCACCGCTGCTGTCGTGTAGGCAGCAGCAATAGCCGCCCACGAAACCCAAGAAAAGGTAGGTGTGATTGTCATTGGTTAATTCTTTTGTAAGTGTTCAAGGGGCAAGCAAAATATCTTAACATGCGATAAACGTTTGAAGTGCGTGTTTCAGTTTATATTTCTAACAGTATTTCATCCAGTTACCACACAATATCAGTGTTTTAGGTTCATAACTATAGCAGGTCGTTTCAATGTAATTCGATACCGACATCAAAGGTGACAAAGAAACGTTTCTCCAAGAGCCGACATTTTCGTTGAAACCGTGGCCAGCGACGGCCCAGGCGCCAGCAGTGGGTAGACTAGCCCGGAGCGCACGCAGGTGCTGCGGCACAGCCTACCCACCGAGCTCCGGCGCTATAACGCCACCAGTCTCTGGTGCTATAACAGCATCAGCACAGCCTACCCAACGAGCTCAGGCGTTGTCACAGCATTGGCCATTCAGTTAGTGGCCGCCCGATGACTGACTAGCTTAGCTGAGTCGGTGACAACCGTTGTTACATACGTTGTGTCAGCTTATATAAGCGGGAACAAGTCATAGCCCACCGTGACACATAAGCGAAAACGAAGCAGGAGACAGCAAAAATGCAATACACGGCAAAATGCATACAACAGAAAAAAACCGAGCAGTGGGGACTTTCTTTTGAGCACAACTTTATTATCACCGTCATATGCAGTATACACTAAAAGCAGCTGCACCTACAAGGCGTTAGGCGCTATCCCCAACAGCGCCACCAGTGTATCCAGCGAACAGGATAGGCTTTAATTTATGCATGATACTACAAAGTGCTGCCGCTAAACACCACTTGAAATCGGTTGTCAGGCAAACTTAACACTAAATAAAGACGGTGGCATGATGCCATAACCATGAAAGGGATTGAATCATGTCATCATGTGGAAAGCATCGCTCCATTACGGGTACACAGAGGGTCTGAGGCGGTTCACGGAAGTCGTTAGCTGAATGCGCTTTTCTGGGAAAAGGCAATTCCATTTCTGAAACGCCCACCGTATAGCTCCATCTCATTGCTGAACTCGTTATGGACTGATGCACATCTCCGTTGCCTGTCTTATCGTGAGATCGGTACCCATCTGAAGCATAATCCACTTAGGTTCACTCTGTGTTCGGTGCTCAGGCTGTAGATTGCCAAAGCTTCATTATGATTTTAGAGCGAGCCCGACTTGGGAACAGGGAGTGCAGTCACAGCGGAACGGAAATTAAGAAATTCACAAGCCAAGGGTTATTAGTCATCAGGACGCACGACTTCGTCAATGAAAGGCTGGGGATTAGTTTCCTCATTTAAGTGTTATTGTTGTTCTTGGATGAGCTGATGTTTATCAGCCACCAAAGCTCAAGGTGTTACCGTAGGTGCATAAAATTTCGTAGACCTATTTCGTCTCGATACTGAGCAAGTGATATGTAACTTGATATCTATTTAGTCAGCGTTGTTTTACCGAGTAAAATTAAATATGTGCCCTCCGCATCAAAACTTTGGGAGTATTCGTATGATGTATTTCCTTCTTTTGACATAGGTATAGTCGAGAGAACAAGATGGGCAGTGGGCACCAAGATTTACAGCATATCATTCGTGATTCGAACCATTTAAGCACGCACCATTTACGAACAACCTCAATGCCCTACGCTATGAACGATAAGATTGATTTTTTTAAACAATGTAAAGTAATAATTTTTTCAAACTTAAACAACAGGCAGACTTCCACATTATGTAGGCATGCATCTTCTATAGCCGCTCTGGGCAGGGGCGAGAGTCGACATTGACATATTTTTACATTACCATGTTATTACTAAGCCATACCACATTACCATATCGTATTCTGGGATGACTCTGAAAGCGTTACGGATATTCAGCAAACGTATCATAGCCCATTCAGTACCCACACACAGATGCATACAGATGCAGATTCATTGCAAACACCTCCGGGCGCGCGCGGTACTCATCTCACGCACGCCAGAAGCGGGGTCGAGGGACGGACGGAGGCGGGCCGGATCGACCTCGCGTGCGAGTCCGCCACCCTTACAGAACCGAGTGAAAGACGCGCACCAGAATAGTAGGCAAAGTGCAGGGATATTTCGGTCCACGACAGCTAACGTAAGGCGAAAATGTGATGGGAATATTTATAAATAAAAACGAAGAGACGAAATAGAATATGCACGGTTATTGGAAGCATGTCACTACATATATCCAACAATAAAGTTTTTTGTATTGAGTGCTGCATTGGAAACTCTTGAGAAGTTTGTACTATCGAGCGGTGAGACGACACTTCTCTATGAATCGTGGTAAAGTTGTTCACATTCAACTAAACAACATTATGGTTTCTGTTAATTTGCTACCAGTCTCTCACGATGACACAAAACCATTAGCGTATTTATATGCAGCAAACAAACTTTCTCTGCTACAAAGCCTTCTGAAAATACTCCACCAGCCATTAGCAGTCGCAAACAGTCACTATTCCGGCGCTGTTCTGACGTTTTCACGTCTGGATGACCGGTCTGTCGATCGATGGTTTGGCAGCGCCCCCAGAGTCGGGACTGTGTACTCACCAAACAGCCAATCACCAAACTACACAGCGAGACAATCAGGCCTAGGACAGTCGCTCCCCCGAGGGGCCGGAGGCTGCGCGGCACCTGGCCGCACCTCTCTGCAGACCGCGCGCCGCCGCCGCCGCCGCCGCTCTAACGGCCACCAGATAGTGACGAATGGTGCCGCTTAGTGCTGATTGATGAGGAGCTTTGAACGCAAACAACCAACAGCAGACTTTGCTTGATGTGCTTATTAATCGACACATTTGGCGTTCTGAGAAGTGCATCAATACGTTAAACGATTAACGAACTATAACTATGATATGCAGAGAGAACTTAGAAATCCTGAGGTGGGATAAGCGTCCTCCTATTGTCGGTCGTTACTGGTTACCAGCCTATCAAACATCAACTATCCTATCAATAAGCATTAATCGACAACCATCTGCATCGTCATCAGTCGCATATCATATTGAATCCACATGATAGCTACGTCGCTACGATTTGCTTTTGCTCGCAGAATTGAGGCATTCAGACTTTGTCCTTAGAGATGTTTGTCCTGGTGCGGTTGCCACCTTGACGTGAAAGGTGACTTATGATTAGCTTCGTTTGTAAATCAAATCTGCTTTTACTATTCAGGAAGCCATTTTGTACGCTTGGGCAGCTTTCAGTATGCATTGAAATGTTTGTAACAATTTATTGTCACGAGAAAAATGCACCCATCACTCAGCTGTATCCTCGCGTTACAGCAACGGATTTCTAATCTAATTGAGGAGATATTAGCCGTTTTCACGACGGGCTACCCGGCGAGTGCACCTAATTTGACCAAATCTGCACCTAATCCAAATCTCTTTATTTTATGAATTTATTCCAGTGTTTTAATCGATGATACTCTCTGATAATATGACAAAGCAGGCATATAAGCAATTAGTGAAACCCCAGCTGATAGCTACTAAGAGACACACTGAACCTAATTTGACCAAATCTGCGCCTATAATCTGCACCAGATGTGCACCAAATGTGTACCAATTGGCCGTCGTGAAAACGGCTATTACTGATGTCAAGAAGTTTTAGTATAAATGTGATCGGTTGTTACGAATAAATGAATCGAATTATTTAACATGCAATATGCGAGTTATATTTTTACCTCTCTCAGACTCTTACAAATTAATATCATATTTTTCCTATTTTGGAGGCCATTCATCCATATGAATCCTTTATCAGAGGCGGGCGTCGTTCTGAATGTCTATTGCCCGCTCGGCCGGTACTGATGAAACCATAATAGCCGTTTCATTATGCAGCCGGCTACGCCGCGATCGGGGGCTGCGCCAGCTGCGTGGCTGGCTGGTCGCGC